CCCCCGCCCAGACCTTCACAAGACAGGGACCGCCTGTACCTTTGCAGATTCGTCTGTTTTAGAAACCACAAGTCCCTTTGGTTGGTGTTAGGAGCTGCTTGAGGGGTCTCTTGCCTTCCCTGAGACCTCGAGCCTCTGGGCCAGCTGCCGAGGGGGGCCTGGTGTTGTTCACTGGCCACAGAGCTGCTGGAAAGAACCAAGTCAACCAAAGTGGCATCCCTGACACTGACTCACGAGGTCTCGCAGGCAGGAGCCGCCCTCCCGCCCGGGCCTCCCTGGAGTCGTGTCTTACATTTGTTGCACACGTCAGCCTAAGAGAGCTTCGGTTATTTTTGACAGCCGTTCTCAAGCTTTCAAAGATTATGTAAAAACAGTCCCTTTTTTTTTATGAGCTCTGTTTAACAAGGTAAATAAAAGATTTCTTTGCTGGTTTTGCAGTCCTGGTATTTGCCTCTGCCAGTCATTGCAGGGGCAGAAACAAGTGGGCAGTTCGCGTGGGGCACCCGGGGCCGTGGTCACCAGGTCTGTCGTAAGCCTAGGATTGCATGCTGACAGTCCAGCCCGGGCCCTGCAGCACTGACCGCTTATCCTCAGGTTTCACCACCTCGGGACGAGTCTGTGGCCCTGGGAGGGTTGGGGGGGTTGCTGACACCCGCCCCCCACCCCCAGCAGTCTGAAGCAGAGCTGCAGTCTCGCCTCGGGCCTCATTGTGCTTGTGCACAGGCTGGCCATCTGCCCCGGGCTGTGTCTTGCCCTCTGAGGAGTCTGGTCTCAGGAGCAGCGGAGTGTGCCCATGTCCCCACCCAGAGCCGGGGCTAAAAGCGGCTGGGGGCAGCCCTGGGCCACCAGCGACACACCCCAGCCCCAGCTCTGGCCTCTGCCAGTGGGGAGGACCCACAGTTCAGAGTGGTGTCAGGGACAGCACTAGACTGCAGGTCCCTGTCTAGGGGGGGCCTTTCCTCCCCCTCCTCCCTGAGCCCTCTTCGAGGCCCCACCCAGAAGGGATAAGGGCACCCCACACACACACCATTTCTTTATTCTTCCAGAGCACTAAAATCAGCACTGCTGGGGGAGGTCCTGCCACAGAGACTCACGGTGCCCACCACATCCCCAGGAGCCCGGCCCCCAGTGCCCGTCCACCTGTGTGTCAGGAGCCCGGCAATGGGGCCCAGAGTGGCTGTTTCTAGGCCACGATGAGCACGTTGGGTCTCACCAGCAGCCCAGTTACTGGAGGTAATTTCAGCATGCTGTCTGGTCCCTCTGGACCCGCTCTGGGTGTCTGCAAGGTGGCAGTCAGCTGGAGGACAAGCTGTCACTGCCTCCCCACCCCACCCCCGTCCAGCATCCCAGCATCCCAGGAAGGTGAGAATCGTGGGTCCTCCTTCGAGAGCAGGCGTGCACCAGGAGGCCCACCACACAGAGTTGTGGCCTCCATTATTTGGGGCTGTGGTCAGCATGAGGACCAAGTCTGAGCCTGGAGAGTCCCCAAAGCAGCAAATGTGGCCGGCGCCCAGAGACTGGAAAGAGCACAGCAGTGAGAGATGTGTGGGACCCCGTGCCCCACACGGCTCCCACCTGCGGGCCTGGCTCCCACCGTCCTGCCATGCGCATTGCCACCCAGCTGGGCTCAGGTGCCCCTGCCGTGTTCTGCATGGGCGTCAGCTGCAACCACAGCGGAGTGTTCAAACAGCACCCACGAAGCAGGGCCTGGAAGCAGACCCTTGTCACACCGGACTCAGGCCACACCAGGCCCTCTCCCAGGGGACTCTCCAGTTGCCGTCAGGCCAAAGCTTGGCCCTGGGTGCCCAGTTCTGCCTGTGCAGTCTGAAGAGAAGGCATGACTGGGTGGCAGGGTCGGGCCGGCCCAGGTCTCAGCCCAAACCTTGAGCCAGGCCTGAGGGCCAACGTGGGGCCCTGCCCTGGGCTGCCCACCCGGTGTGAGCAGCACCCCGGTCCCACGAGTGTTCAGGGCTGCCGGCCATCTGCCCTGAGGAGGATGGCAGGGCCCTGGGCTCTAAGCTCCCCCACCCCCCATAAATCCATAATAAAAATAATCCCTCATTTTCCTGATGTGCCCCAATTCCAGAAGTGCTTCCAGATGCATCATCACGTTGATGCGTGAGAGGGGCCAGGGACGCCCAGCTGACCCCATTTCACAGAATCGCATCAGGGAGGGCTCGGGAGCCCAAAGGGGCAGGAGGCACCCCATTCTCCCTCCCAGGTGAGGAGACCAGGACCATTCACAGGCCCCCAGCCCAGAGGAGGCTGCCAGAGCTCCTACCAAAAGCCTAGAGCAGGCCTCTGTGAGGGTGGACGTTGAGAAGCTGAGCCCTGCTGCCTTCCGCGGCTGCCGTTGCTGCCTGGGGGCCCCCTGCCCAGGATGCAGCCTGGTACCTGCATCACCCAAAGGCCCCAAGGGCACAGCTCCCCCGAGAGCTGGGCAGCGGGGCCTGCCAGACACAGCCAGGGCATCAGGTCTGAGGAGAACAGGATGTGGTCTCGTCCCTGAGGGATGGAGGGCAGAGTGAGCGTCTGCTTGGGTCCCATCAGGGGCCAGCTGAGGAGCAGGCAGAGAGGAGAGGGGACGGGCCTGCAGTGAGGGAGGAACGCCCCCTCCCTCCCCAGAGCCCCCAAAGCTGCTCAGCCTGGGCTTGGGCACCCCTGAACCAGACACAGCCTCGCATCCCCTGGGCCTACACAGAACAAGTCTGGGTATTCCCAGCCCAGGGCCAACTGAAGAGTGGACGGACCCCCAGCCCTCAGGGCAGCTACCCAGTCAGCCCGCCGCCGGCCTAGAAATGGGGGACACAGGCTCACACCTGTGGATGGCTCAGCTCCAGGGCACTGCTGAGGCCCCAGGGGCGTGCAGTGTCCTGGCCTCATCCCTGTTACTCCCGCCTGGCCTACGGCTAGAGCCTGGCAGCGCATGGACGGCTAGGGTACAGTCTAAGGGATGAAAGTCTTCGGTGCCAGCCCCACTGTAGGAGACCACTGTCCACGGCCAGAGCTGACTCCACACTGCCATCCCTGCATCCCCCATCCGCAGGGGCTGACGGAGCGTGCAGAGTGAGGCCAAGTCCCTGGGGTAGGCCCAGCACCGAGGAGGAGGGCAGGGGGGAGGGGGCGGTGCCAGGGCCTGGCCCCAGGTGGCAGGAGTGGGCGGGGCACCTGACTGGGCTCTGCCGGGCCTGTGTGCCCGCTCACTCATTCACTTGGCCCTCGCTGTCACTCACCATCACTTGGTCCTTGTCACTTGGCCCTTGCCGGCACCGTCCAAGGTAGGTCCAATGAACTGGCCCCCCGTGCAGAGCAGGGAACCGAGGCGGCGGGTCCCGCTGGGCTGACCTGGACCATCCTAACCCCCAGATGCCCCTGCCTGTTGGTCTTGTGACCGAGGCGGCTGCCCTGCGCGTCCCAACAGGCCCGACCCCACCGGCGGGGAGGACCCCCTCGGTCTTCGGGCGGGCGGGGCGGGGGCGGGGGCGGGGCGG